ACACAATTAGATTAATGATTAGAGAGTGTTATTTGAGTTTAAATACATTAATAGGTATTCAATGAACTGGTTGTATGAGGTGGTGGTGGTGTGTGTGGTGTCTATGCATGTGTTACGTGTGAAAAATCGATTCACAAAAAAAATATTATATATATATATAAACACATAGTTAAACTAATAAATGTTTAGTAGGCTTCAAGTTAAATGAATATAAATTGCCTATTTATAGCCAGCCGTATGTCGTGTGCCAACAGTGTGTTTAGTAAATGTTGCGCTTAATTGTGTTTTTTAGTTGTTTAAAGACCCTGTGCTCCCAAACTCACCCATCAATGAAAAAAATAACTATTGCTATAAATGTGTGGGCGATAATGGCTTATGGCTTAAGACACACGAAAACAGTTATCAATTCACTGACATTATGAACTGCCAAATGGTTGAGCCAATTGTTAGCATACTATTTATATATCGATACTTAAGTATGAAGTTTTTTTTATATTTTTCAGTTTTTATGTAAATTTAGTAGTTTGTTGTGCATTTAATTTATTAATATAGTCAAAACACTTTTTATTTATTAATCAATTAATTTTGAATTGTTTTTGTTGAAAGTGTTTATAATTTTATACTTTATGCTGGTGGTGTGTTTTGAGTGATAAATTATAATTTTCAGTAAAATAGACAATGTTATTGACTTTTTAAAATTATAATTGATTAGTTTTTTGAGTTGGTATCTCTCTCTCTCTCTCTCTCTCTCTCTCTCTCTCTCTCTCTTTCAAACTTTTTCTGTATAATCCTTTTACTTAACAATTGACGCTTTCGTATACAAACACATCTGACAACAAAAAAGCTAATAATTTCTAATTAAAATGTATACAAAAATAAATATTTTCACTCTTTTCTGACACTTTTTAACACGAAATTTATGACATAATTCGCATTATAAACAGACAAAACTTGTTAAATAAATACATTTGCTGTTAGACTGACACCAGTATTATATGAAGTATAAGTAATAATCATTAGTACTTTTGAGCATTACAAATATGAATGTCATATTTAGTTTATAGTTATATTAATAATAATTATATAATCGTAGAAACGGTTTACAGGCGACGAAAGGGCCCTTATTTTGGCAAAAATTATTATCTTTTAAAAAAATGATAGCAAATAAAAAATTTGTTTCATATTTATTGCACTTAATTAATACATTTAAAGCTAATTATTTTGCAAAACAACAAAAATTGTTTAACTTTTTCCTGGACTTCGTAAGCATTTTGTTAAGAAAATATTTTTGTTTATATTATTATTTATTTTCGTTTAAATTAAGTCATTAAAACATATAAAGAGAAAAACGTATAACAAATTGATGCCTCAATTCATGTTTGAGTTTGTCTTATAAGTTATAACTCTTTTTTACAATTTAATTGTAAATATCATTGAAATTAATTATTATTGCATTTTTACTCAAGTCAGTGAATTGTATATACGATTAAAACAAATATCTTTTATAAAATTAAAATCAAGATTTTGATCATATAATTTAGATATCAAGGAAAATGTGATTTTTATGACATTAATATCAATTTTAATGGTTTATTAAAACATCAGATTAGCACATAATCTCTCTCTCTCTCTCTCTCTCTCTCTCTCTCTCTTTATACAAACGTATTGTTTATTTTGATAAAACTTTCTATAAATATATTAGTTTTGCGCTAAACTCGAGATTTTGAGCGTTTGAATGCAAAGTGTGTTTAAAATTTTATATATTTTATTTTTAGGGGCTATACATTCACACAATATATGTATACATACTTAGGGACTGTGTCTATGAAATCATGATTTCAATCCTCTCTCTCTCTATCACTTTATCCCTTTCATCATAAAAATCTTTATCTTAATTATAATAAACTCTTTATTCTAATTATTATGAATTATAAGCACCAAAATGTTTTCCAGTCATAAACAGTGGGGCATAAGTAAAAAAGTACTAAACATTTGAAATGTAGAAAAATATTTACATCAAATATTTGCTATTTAGTAAATGTGTGTATTAAATGTCGATCACATATACACACACATACCATATCTGTAGTGACTATTAATTGTAAACTAGATTTTCAATTTCATATATTTTCTACACTCTATGTATGAAAATCGTTAGCTTTTCTCAGTAAACAATTTCTCAGTCAAACCGTTTGTCCTCATATTCTCAATGAGAGAATTTATTTCATAAAATATATGTTTTTTTATATGAAGTTATCGTTATATTTCTTGATTGACTGTTAAGTTTGTGTAAAACATGTTGTTTGCTTTTTGCTGTTTATTTATCTATCAATGTTTAACTAATATAGCAGTTAATCATAACAACAATAAGTAAATAAATATTATACATGTATTTATAAACAATTTTCTCTTATATTTCTGTTATGAATATATTACTAGTGTTTTGATTTCCTTATGATTTTTACGATTGCCATACAATAGGTATCTCTAAAAAATATACCTCGGTGTGTGTGTAAAAGTGAGAATACCTACCTGTGCTGACACATACACATTATGAAAACCCCGGTGAGTATAGTATATAATTTGCTAATTGACTAGTTTTTCAACAAAAAAGTCTCGATTATGTGATAATTAATGTAAACTATTATATAACAGTATTCGTAGTAATAGCGATAATTTACTGTTGCTTTATTGCGAGACACCCCTTTCCCATACCCGTGCAAACAATTATATAATGAACACATGTCTGGGTTCATGCCTTATAAGTGAATTATGAATGACATGCCATTCACATCATGAGGTCTACCCTCTCATACAAAGTCATTGTTTTGATAACATATTTGGCGAGAGTTTGCAAAAACTTTGCAAACATTGCTCGCAAACCAAACATAATCTCTAATCCCAGGCATCGAAAAATAGTAGCTATTAATCAGATTATAAATAAATATGAGTTAACTTTCCCCGATAACTATGAAATTATGTACATGTACAATTATGTATATTAATAAACGCTTGTGAGTTCATTATAGATGGGAATTATACACTTCCATGTATGTTTAGTGTATATAAAAAGTCTATTTAATTTTTATGTATTATTTTAGTGTTTAATCTCGATAATGTTTAAATGTTTATTGAATACCAGTATATGTTTATACAGTGTATTTCATATTTTATTTCTTTTCCACCGATAACCCGGAAAAATATACTCAATAATAAAGTTATGAATATATAAAAACACTCTGAATATAATATAAATATTTTTATTACATAAAGGTTTTTAACTGGATTTTACTCATTTTAAATGCTAATCGTATGGTGAGAAAAGTGTTTTTGAGAGATAAAAGTTAACATCAATTAAGTGAAAATAATTTATGAAAAATGAGTTTATTTGAGCGAAAAATTTCTTTTTATTTATTGAATTTTTATCCTATTTTTAATAATAAATTTTGCTTTTCAATGAATTACATTAAAATAATAAATTCATTGAATTTTACTCTAAAAGTTATATAAACTAGACAAGTAATTTATTTTTCACACTTTAATAGATATGTCTTTTTTGGTGAATATATAGTTGTTTTTTGAATGCAAACATTTATTTTTCATATTTTAATTCAATGAAAGTATAATAATATTTCTCTTTAGTCTTTGTATTTAATTTTCGGTTCAAAAAACTTGAACTTAAATACTCTGTAATCATAGACACAAATATAATAATAACAATAATGTATACATAGTGTAACTGTTTTCAAACAGTTTTCATCAAACAATTAATTGCTGTTTTTATCGTATTTTTTTCTGTCATTTAATAATTATCTAATATGCAAGCAAACAGTTTATACACAGTATTACTATAAATATACCGAAAAAAGTTTATATTTGTTCAGCTTTACATATGTATATAAATTGACAGACATATTGTCATACAAAGTTTTATGACATTTTTGTGCTAGTTAGATATTAAATAATCATTGAATGCACAGAGACTGCATGGATGACTATAGTCCTGAATAATATCCAAAGGTTTTGATAAAATTGTAATTAAAAATGAATACAAACTTTGTGTTAAATTGAAAACTAATTTCATATTCTGTGCGTCGATTACATTATCATATCAATTGATAGTAAACCACAAAATTGTTTATGACTTTTACATTTCCATTAAACACTCTCACATCCATTACTTCACAATATTCATGATTTTGCGGCTAAACATCAGGAATTTATTTTATAGTAAATCATCCATTGTTTGCGAAAAAGTTAATATAAATTATAATTAAAAATTTATAGTCAATTATCCGAAAGGATGTGCGAATTAATTATTTGCGCAAAAAGCTAATAATTATTCATTTTTTTGTGTCTATATTATGTGCCACAGAATGAGGAAATGGCATCCATTCCCATAGCCATGTCCGAGGTATCCATATCTTCATCGTCATCATCGGCCGAGTCGGAGCTGAGCACCCGGGAGGACATAGCCGTGCTCACCAACTATGTCAAGCAACTCAGGGAATCCCTGTCCAAAATCAAGCGTATATTCAACCCAACCGTGGAAAGGGGTATGAGATTTGAATTTAACTTTTTTAATACTAAATATAACTATTAATACATTTATTTATTATTTATTGCATGGTTTTGCTGAATAATTAATTAGTTTGCATTAATTATATCTTAATATATATTTTAAATTGAATTAATTTCTTGATTTTCGGGACAATAAATGTTTTTTTTGAAAACGATTTTTGTTGTTGAGATAATTGATTATCTAATGGACTCCGAGATTATATAATTTAAATAAACTTTCTCTCGATTCTCGATATCTGTTAAGTAATCTCCAGATATTAATCACAAATTTCAAATATATTTCTTAATTAGAAATGTATTTTATATTTAAATTAAAGACACTTTAATTAAAAAGTTGCAGAGAATTAATGTTTTTATTTATTATTTGTCTGATTATTAATTCTTATATTCAATTAAATGAGCAAAAGATTTATAATTAATTTAAACCGTTTTTAATTAATATTTAAATTTATTCTTTAATTTCTAAAAACACTTTTATATATTGGGAGAGAGAGAGAGAGAGAGAGAGTGAGTGAGTGAGAGAGCGAGAGAGAGAGAGAGAGAGAGAGAGAGATCTTTAACTCTTTTATTATATCTTTGGGTCATAATTGAGTGAATATAAGAGAAAACGTTATTTTAATTTTCAATAAAAAATAACATTTAATTATAAGAATAGCATATTTAATATGAAATGTTGCGAAAAAAGTGTTACTCTTTATGCGCTGAACATCAAAATTAATTCATTTCCTAATCATTAAAGATTTATACGAGAAAAAAGTTTTTACATAATAATTATCGCCTAAAAAAGAGTCAATGAATTGAAAATAGGGAGACATATATAAAATAAACTTTCTACTTTTTTGTGAATATTTTAACGCATGCAACAATTGAGTTATAGATACATGTAAACACTTTTTATTATAGAAAATATTTGCCAAAAAACTATAAGTCTGGAAAAAAGTTTTTTAATTATTTAAATAGCTCTCGAAAAGTAATATAAATTTATTTGTCGATAAAATTATTTCCACTTTCGTAGAGAAATACACATTGATTTCACGTTTTGTTTTTTATCTCTCGCCATAAGTACTGAACCCTAACTCTCGAGGATTTGTTTTCAAACTATTCAAAAATGTGTTCAAAAGTCAAACGAAAATATATATTATATTTCATTCCGAGAGATTTCAAGCGAAATGTAGATAACGTACGAAAATATAGTGATTTAATGATAAATATAAATATTTATTAATTTTCTAGCTATGGCTTTGAATTTAAATTAATATTTTTCTCACTTCTCAAAAGTCTCTCTCTCTCTCTCTCTCTCTCTCTCAGCGAAAACATACGCGAAAGTCTGACATCAATATTGAGTCCAAGACTTGTTTTCAAACTTTTTTTATGTATTTTTTATTTCCACTATATTTCTCTCTGTCTATGTATCAGTCAATTAGTTCTTGATTTTCATTACTCGACTTTGCATTTAAGGTGAAAGAGCTCTGAATAGAGACTGAGAAACGAAAATTAGTATTAAATTTATGTTTGCTTTCGACGACTAAATTAAGAAATAAGACTTAATGTAAACCTCATCCCAAAAAGTGCTCAAAGGATTATAATTTGCGTAAACTTTAAGTAATGTATGCTTTTTTCGCTTGTAATTTAATACTTAACTGTTTTTTCTTGATTTTATTATAACTCATAATTCACGCAAAATCTCTGTTGAAAATCTTTATATTATTTAAATCTACGCTATAATAAAACTTATATAATATAAAATAATTATACCAATTAATGCTTAACATGTAGTAATGTATTAAAATCGGTACATATTATGTAATAGCGTAATAGTACTGATGATAACAAAATAGCTATAATGTAGTGAACTAATGTATAAACCTTTTGCTTATGTATTCATTTTTCTGATACCAAACCACTCGACACATACAAAACAGATAAGAAGGAGACCCTACGTGTGTCGGCTCACGAAAGGCTGGGCGAAGTGCTGAAAGCCATGCGACAGATACTGGAGAAGTACCCGAAGATCCAGTCGACCGACCTGTTGATGAGCGCCGGCAATCTCATACATCACGTCAAGAATTTCAATTATGACGATAAGGGCGCCGACACCACGCCGTTCGTGGAGGCCGTAGACCAGTTGGCCCTGGCGTTCAGCACCAGGTCTGTGCCAGTTATCTATCTATCTATTTATCTCCAGTAAACCCCTTTAAGTACCCGTAAACCCCTTTAGTATGCGTATACTCCTAGGCAAACTGCAAAGTACCATGCTACATGGTGTACAGTAGCTTAGGTACAGTTAGTGTGGGACATGTGTTTCACTCATGAATGCAAAGTAAGATTTCCTATGAATTAACGAAAATACACGAGAATTGAGTGCAAAACACAAGAGGTTTTCCGAGTCTTAAGTACTGTTGCCATCAAATCCTTTAAGAGCTCGCGATTTAGTGTTCAAATGAAAAATAGGAAGTATTTTGTTATTATAATACAAATATGAAAAATGTAGAGAAGTTTTATGTATTAATTATAAAAGTCTTTTTCCCTCTCTTTATACAAACGTATTGTTTATTTTGATAAAACTTTCTATAAATATATTAGTTTTGCGCTAAACTCGAGATTTTGAGCGTTTGAATGCAAAGTGTGTTTAAAATTTTATATATTTTATTTTTGTCACCAATTCATGAAATGACGACAACCCCTGTCGTCCTACTGTACAAACATTTCATATGTTTTATAATACATGCGATTATAATGTTGTGTATACTATGTGTGCAAATAGTGTACACATTATTCTGTCACAAAAACCTTTATATGTTATGAAAATACTTTTTAGATTACATTTCCATTGAAAACAAGGCTTTTCTAGCAATGAATATATTCTTTATACGAATGCATGCATCGGAACACCAGTTCCGGTACTACGTCTACGGGACTGGTAGGGGGAATGGGTCTCCAAATGTGATCATTTAAATATCATATATTCTCTCAGTAGTAATGATACGAAAAATGAGTTTAGATTTTTGTTTTGTTAACTCATTTCCGTCTCTAAT